CCACGCTTCTGCTGCACTTCGGCTCAGCCGAGCCAAAGCATATGCCTTTGGCTCAGCTGCCTTCAGCTGCTGTACGGGCTATCCTTCAGCTCATTAGTAAATAACCTCCTTATTGTTGCCTCCCTAGTGCAGGAAGTGTTTTTTCTGGCAGTATCATCAGGTGAAAACAAAGGGAAAAATGCCGAAAAAAAACCTAATGCAGACACCACTAACTAAAGCAGCAGCAGGATCTTACTGTAAACACCTCCTTATGTTACTGTCTGCAGCAGCCGAGGATCTTCAAAATCCAAGTTGTTAAAAAAAAATTGACCAGCGCCCCTTACCTTCCCTTTTGATCCTTGAGGCTGCCCATCACACACTGTAGCCAAAAAAAGATGAGAAGAGCAGGAAGGAGCATCTGTGGTTTTTATGTTTTAATTACAGTGCATAGTGGGTTTTTGATAGACCACCATCTGCACATTAACTGCGTATGTGGGAGGTGCTTACAGGAAGATGCTGTGCTTCATTTGGACCCTGCTAGAGACTATGGTTTTGTTTTAAGGATGCCACAGACATGAGCCAACCATAGCCTTATAACTATTGGATTGCGAACTCAATTGGGTAGTGTAGAAAAAAATATGAAGGTAGAATGGTACTCCACAGGTGATTGCTATTGCTTCTGGAAAGACCAGCACCAGGTGTACGTATGTTGAAGTGACCATACATTACCAATAGATTAAAATACCTTTCAATAGTTCAATCCTTCTTTATCTCAGGTCCATGGATAGTTTATGTTTACAGCAGATTTCTCTTTTAGCAAATTAGGTTTAAGATAACTTAAAGCCCAACTCCTGTGCTAGTTTTTTTTATTTAGTCAACCAGTGTTAGAAACTCTGTTGGGTTTTTATTTTAGCGTGTCCGCATCTCTTGTTATCCAGTCTGACTGCTGTCATTTGGACAGTCTTTTTGAGGCAAAAATCTTTCCAGCAGGGACATCCATGGCAATAAACCTGACACATGTTCTAAATCCTCGATACCTACTAAAAAAAATTATTTATATTACATTCTGTAACTTTATTAAAGAGATTTCACCCCCACATTTTTATGATCTGTCTGCTGCTCATAAAAATTGATAAGAAATCTCTCAAATGGAGACATAGGGGTCCATTCACTAAGCTGCCGTAGGCAGCCGAGTGATAGACCGACCTGAAGTGAAGTGAGCCTAGCTCAGCATGCTCAGCATGTTCGGCCGACCCGAAGTGCAGAAGGAGTTTGACTCAGCCGATCCAACATCTGGATCGGCTGAGCCGAACCTTCGGCAGGCTACTCACTGCTGTTCGGCCTATTCTTATAGATGCCGAACAGCAGTGAGTGAATAGCCAAACAGCAATATGTGAACTACAACTAAAAATATTTTTTGCCTGGAAATGGGCTTGTGAATGGCCACAAAGGTTGCTGGCAGTACGCAGATGTTCCGGCAGGTTTTCTTTTAGCAATGTACGACAAGACTTAGGCCCCGTTCACATATAGCGACATACCTTTTGCAGCGGATCCGCACGGCCGGGATAGCGCGACTTTCGGGGCGACGTTCCAGCGACGGTAGCGCGACCTTCCCCGTCGGGCTCCATAGAAAAAAAAGTTAAATCGCGCAAAATTCGCCGAAAAAAGGGTCCGGTAGAAGCGACTTGCGACCGCGATGAGCGACGAGCGACGCGCGACATGGAGTTAAGACAGCTCCATTGAATAACATTGGCCGGCGACTTCTCGCGATATCGCGCGGCAAAAATGCGCGATATCGCGGCGGAAATCGCGCGACAATTCGCTATATGTGAACGGGGCCTTAGGCTGGCCATACAGTGCTCTATTTTTCTCATTCAACCCACAGGCTGAATGAAATAAATAGTGCAGACTCCTCCATCAACACTACGAGTGTGTCAATCTAGGAATCCTCACTGTTTGCATTGTATTGTAACAGCAGCAGGTCACTGTCTGTTTATACAAAGATTTTTCCGGCCAGCTCCTCCGATTGGCTGATTGAGGGATGCCTGCTGAAATAAATTTGCACAATGTATGGTTACCCTTAGGGCACAAAGCTCAACACTTGTTCTGTTCAGTGGCTTATACAAAATGCCATTTGCTTAGCTACACCACCATGAACATTTGCCATAACATCTGCACTTTGAACTCTGTAGAAAGCTACTGTTCACTTATTCTACCCATTTTTTTCCCCTTCAGAAGCCTAAATGATTGCCAGATTACTAAACTTACAAAGTCAATTGTCTATAGGAAAGTAACTACCCCCACTAATCTCATATCTTAGTTCAGCTTCTAAAATGCTTGTTTTGCATCATGTAAAAAGTGTGAAATTTCTGCAAATATATACACTCCCATTTTTGTTGTTTATTTAATGCTGTATGAAAGGCAATGAAAACTGTAGCAACTACATTCCTGTTTGCTAGGGTCATCTAGGCCAGGGGTCACCAACCAGTGGTCCACTAAAAAAATTTGGTGGTCCCCAGGCCCCTCTGATGCCGTGCAGGCTGAGCCGTCATTGAAGCAGCACGAAGGCTCCGGGCCTGCCTCTCACTGACTCAAGCAGCGGCTGACACAAGGAATGCGCGGCTCTCAGTCCAGTGCGGGCTCTGCAGGAGGTGGGGCATCTCGTCAGTACCTAGACTGAGCAGGTTGCAGGACATAGAAAAAGTGTGGAGAAGCCAGGTAATAGTGGCTCAGTGTGGGGGAAGGTACGGGGGTGGTTGGGGGCAGTGCTGAAGCCGGGGGGGGAGGAGGCATATGCCCCAGTGGCAGATTCGATAGGGGGGAACAATTAATATTATTACTGGGGCGGCACCACTCCCTCACTCCACCAGCACTGCTACTCCTGCAGGCACAGCCGCACCTATGTCTGTATGTGTATATATAGATATATTCTATTTTTTGTTTCCTCATATATAAATATATTCTCGTTGTGTACACATACATATATACACACACACACACGAGGAAACAAAAAATATGAGAATACATATTTTTTACAAAATTCATATTAGTGGTCCGCGGGATTTAAAATGATGAACTTAGTGGTCCATGAGGTCCGTGACCGCTGATCTAGGCTGCAGACCCCATTTCTGTACTGGGGTCTGCAGTCTTTGTATAGCATTGTTACCATGTAGTGACCGAAACATTGAAATTGCAAACCGGGCTCTATTCTCCTATATGACACTGCTTTGTGTTAAAACACAGATTCCTTAAAAAAAAAAAAACAACAACAAAAAACACCAAAACAAATCTGCCCATGCCCATGGTGCTGTTGTGTTAATACAAACCTATACCTGAAAGTGAATGCATTTTTAACAAAAATGTATCTTATTTGTGTATCACCCGGCTCTAGATCTTCAAATCATCTCTGAATTCATACTGACATTGTCCTTGCTTCTGGAGGGTGGCTACTTTTGTTCCCCATGGTCCCTGTGTGTGTGTTATAAAGTAGCTACAAACTCCAAGCTCACTCCTATGATTGACTACAATCTCAATACAAAATTAGCTAATAGATATCTATCTAAGGGTTTGTGGGGGGAACAAAAGCAGTCACTGTTCAGAAGGAAGGACACTGTCGGCATGAATTCAGAGATGATTTGAGGATCTACAGCGAGATTACACAAATAAAGATACATTTTTGTTTTACTTAGTTTAGTGTCACTTTAAGTCCCTATGTTAGGGTAACTGAACACTTTTTTTCAGATCAGTGCTGGTATAGCAACACATTGCATATACCACACCGAATCCACACAGCACATGGTATTTACCATGGAAAGGTCTGACTATTGTACTTTGCCTTATTAAACATGATCTGTAATTATATTTAATAGATATATAACCTTTTACTCAACACTATAGTGTATAATTTTATTGGGCCTTGCATTGAAAGCATTTGGAAAATACACTAAACCTGCCAATAAATGGCAAGACAAGGATGGTGAAAATGCAGGTGTAAGGGGGGGTGGTATATGTACAGCATTGCACATCTAGCACTCCTACCCCCCACATATGAGCTACATGCTTGTTAGGGCACAACATGCTCAGTAATACTACTGCACAGTCGAAAACTGCCAAAAGATTAAATTTCTGACAATGGTATTCTGTCAAGTGTGATATACAGTAGCAAAAAAAAAAATGAAAAAACCCACATACCCATCATCCATCTCAAAAAAACTTAAGGGCGCAGATTAAGGCTGCAATTGTGTAGAAAGTCATCGTAAGTGTGTAAGAGACTGACTGTTCAGTAGCAGTGCAAATGTGGAAGTGGCATCTGACACTTGCAGGGCTAGTCACAAAAGGGTGAAGAGTTGGAGAAGTGACTAATCTAGGACAACATAGCTGAACTGGAACAATTCTCCAATTCAGCCATGTGGTCCTAGATTGCAATGTTCACTTCTCCAAACTCTTCACCCTTTTGTGAATAACCCTTTTGGTTTAAGTAGTTCGACCACACAATGAATGCACAGCACACACACAATAAATAATGCACATATGTTCAATAACCAAAATAGTGATTTATTAATAATTTAAGGATCTATAATAAATTGCATCTTAAAACTTTACCCCGTGGACATTTGGGAGCACAATGCATCTCCCTTATTGGCAATAAGTGTGCAATCTAAGCTTTGCAGGTTACTGGTACACATACTTCCAGTTTACACAATCCAAAAAAAAAAAAAGGATAAAAGAAAACAAAAAAACCTCATACATACCATAGCATTATTAGGTGCGGCTCCATAAAAAAGGTCAGAGGTAATTCACATTAAGTTTAAGAGCGATTAAAGTGTTAAAAACGTGAGAACCACTATGTGGTTCACAAAAGCTCAGGCAAACAAAGTTACATGAATGTGAAACAGCATTACAATTGTAAATGAACAACCTTCTGTGCATACAAATACATGATCTTCATATCATGACACTGAAGAGCAATATTAGCCATTGCAGCTACCATTGAACCACTAAGAAGTGGCCCAGCTAAAGCAATAGTGACATGTATTGCAGTGCTTTTCATCATTCAACTCTGCTACACTTTCTGAAAACCCTTTTATGTAAAGTCCAGTCCACCTCATTTACTTTTCAAATTCAAAAATATTGACAGTGCTACATATAAAAAGTGACTATTTACAGAACTCTGTAAATTGAAAAAACAAAGACAAACAAAAATCCAAGTACTTCATATTCATCAGAAGGTTAAATGCTTTCTTTGGCTCCTTTGAATTTTAGGAGAACCGGTCTTCACAGAAGACAAGGATATATATATGCAAAATATATAATTGTTCATCCAAAACATATGGATTGTTTGCAGTCCAACACTACTTGTTTGGATCTCAAGCCACTGCATTATTAAGGCAGTACTCTCGTGTAAGCTTGCCAATTCATTCTGAGGCCCAAGATTCCTCTTTTCATAATCCGAAGACTTCAACCAGCCAACTCTTCCCACTTTAATAATCTTTTGATTCACAGGTTATTACCTTCTAACTCGGTAACACACCTGTCAAACACTTGACAGACTGAAAGAAACTTTTCTGTATAGGAATGATTATCACCAACACATTTCAATGGTTCAGTCTCACGTAGATTGCAGAGAATCTACTTTAAAGACATTTTGATTGCCTGGAGTTGAGAAATACAATTGTTGAGGGGGCACGCGATTGTCACATGGGCTGGTAAGTCCCAATGTCCTTTCAAAATCCAACAGCTGACCCATGAAGTTAAAGTTGGGGGAAATGTTGGACTTCTTCATCTTCACTATGTCATAGGCATCATTCATGGAAAGGTTTAGCTTTTGCATGAGATAGGCCACTGTGACGGTGACCGACCTGCTGATTCCTGCAAGGCAGTGTACCAGGACACCACAACTTTTTCCTCTGGCTTCATCTGAAAGAAAGAGGGGACAATTTTTTTTTTTAATCCAACATGCTTAAATTAAATCAGAACACATTGCAGCAATGCAGATTAATGTACATATAGAAAATCAGCACACAAATTCATCTGAAACATGAGGAAAACACAATACAGCATAGCTGTAGTGCCAACAGGAAATTAAAGTGTATGTAAACCCAACAAATCTGCTCTTATTTGCACCCTTTTGGTCTGTTTAGTATATCATTGGAACAAATTTTTTAATATTTGTTTGACAAGTGCAAAGAAATAAATAATCTTGTCAGAAACTCAGAGCTGTCCTGCGTTATCTGAAAGAGCCCTCCAAGTCCTTATCTTGGACTACAGAATTCTGTTTCAGAGATCTGAAAGTTGTAGTGGTTGAGCAGTTTAGCAAGAGACCACTGGGAGGGCTGACACCACAAACAAATGCTGAGTGTTGTCACCCAACAACAGGGCAGGAGCAGATTGGATTTCTGTCAGATCAGTGGGGATCTCTTTCTGTACTTGCAAGGCCTTTAAACAGTTAAGCATGGTGACATCTACATATATTGCAGAGGGTGCTGCATTTTTTTTCTAAGCCTGACAGTCACTTGTTCCAGCATCTGAAGCAAACAGACAAGCAAGATATAGCGTATAATGGCTATAATCTTTTGTACTGGATAAAATGAATACTTATCACAAAAGGGGAAAAAAAGGCAAATCAAATAATTATCCAACTGTTGTGCCAGCAACAATAGCTTTATTCAGTCATGATAAGAGAAAGAGGGAAGTCACAGGGGACAACCCATTAAGAGGAACAGGATGTCAACATTGCTGTAAAATGGGTTCCTTTGTAAGAGGAAATGCACTACAATGCTTGGAGATTAGGTACTATGTGGCAGACGGCCAACATTTTCTTCCTGCAGTGCTCGGATTACCATCTCACTGTGTTAGACGGAGGATGAAAGTTCACTAGTCCAAGGCTATATCAAGCCTTTGAAAGGAACTCTTACAGAGGAATACAATTTATAAAAACACACAGTTAAGACTTTGCAGGCATGCAAGCTTGATAAAAAGGGGTAGATGCGCAGCAATGATACTCACCGATAAAAGAGATGGCTTCAGGGAAAAACTGTGACAGATTTTGGCTCCAGTGGTCCGATATCGGTATCTGCTTGTACCTGAACTCCCCTGCATTCTCAAAAAGGTTAGGCAGGTTTGGGGTCACGTTGAGGATGTACTTAATACCAAACTCTTCTAAAACATCCAGATTGGTAGAATCTTTGGCACAGCCGAGGTATAAATAGGGCAGTATTTCAACTGGGAATGAAGGTTGCGTGTTAGACAGGGGGCTGCCGTCAGAGTCTGTAGCACTGGTGGGGTCCCTGTCGATGTCAGATTCGATATCTGATGAAGAATCGGAGCTGATTCGTAGGCCTCCCAAGCCTAACACCGGCGGAGAACTGCTGCTGCAAGAACTGTCCAGATTGGTTTCACAATGCACAGGATACTCGGCCTGGAATTTGTTAAAGCCACCTGCAATGCAAGGAGAAGTATAGTTAGAGCACATTGTTAGGCTGCGAGAGATCAACAGGGAAAAAAAAAAAAGCTTGTTTTGAATAAATGTTTAACTCTGAACAAAGCGCAAAGAGCACAAAGTGCAAGCTGTAGTCTTGTTTCATTGATAAGACCCTCTTGTCCTTCATCAGTGGAATGCAAACAAGCATGACCTCGATTTTATACAGTGCTTTTCAGATAAAAGGTTAGACTTTGCACCTTAAGAGAAAGCATGAATCTCTTGGGCAGCGATTAGAGAGAAATACATGACGGCCAGATATACTTATCACGGCTGCTGATAATCTCTGTGGCAATAATCAGTAAACTAGCTATGTGAACTCAGATTTCTTAGCAGCAAATCACAAAGGAAGGAACTAATTAGCTTTAGCACATTTGTGAAGCCAACAGCTATTTGGTCAAAGGCCATGGGTACAGCTCAAACAATAATAAAATATATATAAGAAAAGCTATACAAAAAGGTAGCCACATTACAGTCTATGTACAAACACTGTATTTAGGTTACATTACACAAGATTTTCAACAGTGTCAGGACAAAGTATGCAGGCTTTTTATTAATATACTACAAAACCGTAGAACGATTTCTGTGCCATTGCACAGGTTGACTTATGACAGAAAGGAAGACTGTGGTGTGATCCCAATTCATGTGCATGGAGTGGTATAAAATCTATTTGCTTAGACCACACTGAACAGATATTTTATGGTGGCCACTGGTACAGATTGCCACTGGACTTTCCATTTCTGTGTTAGAAATAAAACTGAGTGATGAGCCTTTCTAATGCTGGAGTGCCAGCTATGAGTGATAAATTGCAGCTATTGGCGTAGGTTGTCACTCCCGTCTATGGTGCTAACCATTCACCCGGGCAGCTGGATTTCCTTTCTGTACAAAATCTAATTACCGGTTCTGCAGGTAATGACCCCCTCTTATAATGGGGCACCAGCTATCAAGTAATGAGCCCCTCTTATAATGGGACACCAGCTATCAATAACAAATGCTGACAATTGGTAAAGTCTGTCACTACGTTCCAGCTCACCTGGACAGATGGAACTGCATTTCTGTACACACCAAACAATCATTAATGAGCATCGGCTATTAGCATACGCTGCCTGCTTTTCACCTGCAACGCATTTTAGTGGAAGATTTTATCATTCTAGCAGAACTGATCACTGAGATGCCAGTACTGGTGCAGACTGTCACTCCTACCTAGGGTGCCAACTTCATTTCTGTGTAGAATCTAACAGAGCCTTTTAATACTGGCATGCCAGCAGTGGTGTGCAGACCATCACTCCCGTCCATTGTAACATCACTTGTACAGCTAATCACTATTACCTAGAGGACCGGCCTTGGTGCAGCCTATGACTCCTGCCCAGGGTGCCAGTGCTGATGTAGACAGTCACTCCTGCCCAGGGTGCCAGTGCTGATGCAGACAGTCACTCCTGCCCAGGGTGCCAGTACAAATGCAGGCTGTCGCTCCCACCCAGGTTGCCCATACAGATGCAGACCATCACTGCCCCCCAGGGTGCCAGTACTGGTGCACATAATCACTCCTGGCTAGGGTGCCAGCACCCCGCCTACGGTATCAGCCTAATCTAGGATGTCAGTGTACTTCCAGGCGATCAGTGTGCAGTGCCCCTGGCACAGTAGGTACCTTCCAGGTAGTAAGCCTTGCAGCCCTCGTCTTTCAGCCTCTTCATGAGCAGCCCCAGCACCGACTCCCCGCCCGTGTTCTCGTTCCACTCGCTGCTGCTCTCATCGTACAGGATGACCGCATCGGATCCGCACCTGCGGGCGAACGTGTCCCGATCCTCTCCCCTGGTGAACAGCGATCGGATGGGCAGGTTGCCCTTCTTCAGGCGGCGCAGCATGATACCCGGGATGGCGACATTGATGGCCGCCTCGATGTGGGACGACTCGTACAGCTCTTGGGGTCTGCAGTCCATAAGCAGGAGGCACTCGTTGGCCAGCTGCAGCTGCTCGTTGAGCCAGGCCACCGACTTGCTGAGCGCCATGTCTGCCGTCGGGTGCACGGGTCTGAGCTTGTCTATCATTGAGGAGCAGGGACAGAGGAGCGCGGCTCGGGGTTGGAACGAGGTCTGACACACTAGACGCCTTGCGCTTCTTCAATGGAAATCCAATTAGTCGAGTGAATGGCGGCGTAGCCCGCAGCCCAAGCTCCTTCCTGTGATCAATCAGCTCCGCGCGGCCCAGCCACAAGCGTCTACTGAATGGATACAAACACGGAACGTCTCAATGGATACATTGTGCGCGCCGGCCAATCACAGCGCTCCGAGCGCCGGTTGCCCGGGAGACGGGCCGGCTGGAACAGGTTGTGTTGATGAATTGTTAATGAGTTTGTCA